TTTCACGCAAATGAACTGAATTATGATCTACAATTGCTTTTTGTTTACCTTTGTGGACGTATTCGCAACCTTTGAGGTTCTAACTGCTTTACTGCGCTTCCTAATATCATTGATCATAAGGTTAATGACAATAATAATTTAGATTATAATCATGTAGAATGTTAATAAAATTTTTTTAACTTTACATTGATTTCAGTTATCATCAGTGCTTTTGTAGAAACTATGGATCCAGCACAGCTGTTTCCATAACACCTTGGTAAAGGTTTTTTTCATTTATGTCGAGGAGAATTCGAGCTAAATCAACGTAACATGTAATTTTATAAACCATATTCAGTGGTACACCAGGCTTGATAGTTAGATTGCAAACGTTTTATCACTAACCAAAGTGACCTTCTCAATACAGTAACAGGGTTGGTGCTCTCAATTATCTGTTTCTGTTTACAGATTTGTGATTTGAGTGGAAGGGCATAGTTTTATCCGGTTGGCTTACTTTTTAGTTACCTTGTTCTAATGGAAAACCCAGTGAACAGGAGGAGTCCAACGGTTTGTCGTTGGTCTATCAGTAAATTGTGCTACTGTTTTTCTCTCGTGATGTCTGTCATGACCCACCGAGATAGCTAATGTGATATGCGACAAAAAACAAGAAAGTTATCTTAAAGATGTGAACTCCTTCAAAAATCTTTGCTTAATTTTCCTTATATGTTTGTATATGTAGCGTATCATCATCCTTTATTTATCATGCAATTTCCACAGAAGAGTGATTGTGTACTAGGTGAATGTTCATCCCCTATGGGGCGAATTAAAGCCGCTTCTTGACTTGACTTGATATTCTTTACTCCGAACTTAGTCTTAAACGATCCACTTCTTTAATCTGCCATACTTCTTTCTATTATCATCAACCTTTTTTACGTACAAAACACTTTAAAATAACTATCCCTTGCTTTTCCATTTCACCTAGTAAATTGATGAGACTACCGTGTAAACGAAATGTTAACATTCATCAGTTCTGGTCATTCAATCAACCATATAACTTGAATATTGTTCACTAAAGGTTGATTTATCCTAAGTCTGTTATATGTAATTTTTGTTTTCAGTCTCACCTATTGGAAATGATGATGAAACCACCTTAACGGTCATTCTGTTTGGCATGGTGCATCGATTCTGTAGCGGTTTGGCTCCGCATTTCCCGATGAAGAAAGTTTTGCTTTTGCTATGGAAGGTGCTTCTGGTATGTTTTCCCCCCCTCCTTCGATCGTATGGTTGCCCTAACAAAATACAAACACCTGGTTCAAATCTGGNTGCAACTTGTAGGTCACTCTGGGTCCAATCACTACGTTGTTTGCTCGCAAAAACGCCGCTCGTGCACGTTACAATTTGCCTCCGCTTTTCGAGGATTCAAATCAAGTCATTCGGCGGGTTCGTGCCAACAGCCCGCCGGGCACTTCAGCGGATCAAATCCTGTCTCGGATTCCGCGCAACAATAGCCGATATACAATTTTCGGTCAGGGTGAGTGAATGCACGTTCATGTGCCCCCCCCTCAACCATATTTTGTTTTCCAAATGCGATCTCCGTGTTTTGATTGGTCACGAATCCTATTAGAGTCATTCACTTTCAGATGTATTTGTTTGTGCAACTTAAAGCCCCAGATCTATCCGTTTGTCCCAAGCAACGACAGATTTAGAATTCCTAAATCGATAACCGAAGAGGTGCATGAGTCATTTAATGTGCTTCATTAATGATCGAATGATTAGAAATTAATTCGCCAAGTCGTGTAGCACAATGTCCATCGCGCATAGTTCACGAATATAATAAAAACCAGTAAAAAAAGAACTATTTTCAGTAACTTCTCTGATGCACAATAAATTTCCCTCCTGGGTAGCGTATGTTTAAATGACGGTTTTGGCTAGTATCTATTATTTTTCGTGGTCAGTCCGCACATATTTAGATTTACATTGTTTACTTTCTAGGAAATCAAGCACCCAGGCAAGGAAGTTTGGCCAGTGGTCGTTTGGGATTACAACAGCAAGCACAGCATTCGCAACAGACTTCCAACGCATCATCAGTCAACTATCCGTTTCCATCAAATCAGTCTAGAGGTCGTCCAGTAGCCGCACCACCAGATGTATCAGCTTACGAGACCAGTGGCTTTGCCACACCTCGTCCCGGTTCTCCAGTGGGGTCGAGGTCACCTGGAGATCCCACTGGAGGTGCGGATACACCCATGCCGGGATCTGAAACCGTACCGAGTTCAGATACGGATGTGCAGAAACAACCTATGCTGCAAGGTTTGAATAACTTCTTCTCCCATTCAAAAACCTTACCATGGAAACCTAAAGTACGCAAGAAGGACTTGGAGGTAAGTGTGTGCTTGGTTGTCTGAGTCTGTAAATCCTCTTTTCAGTTGACCTTAATAGAGGCTTTTATCAGCACCTCTCATTCCCAGTAAGCGGAGCAGAAGTTATAGTTTTTTTTTTACAATGAACCGCCCTGAGATTTATATACTCCCATCATATCTACTTTTGAGTAGTGCAACAGGGCGCCATCAGTGCTTCGCTTACAAGTGTTATCGCATTGCGTTTACCGCGCACCCAACTATTCTTCTTCTGTTTACTTATCTTTAATGCGGCTGGCTCCATACATGCTGATGATCAAGATGATGGAGTTCCTTGGGCGTTTTGTACGAGAGATGTCCCCAGTGGCATTCGACCCTTTTATTTCGAGAGCGCACAACCAAGTTTGAACTGCGAGGCAACAGGAAGTAATCTCTCACCTCGGAAGTGAGGGGATTAATGAGTTTAGTTTTAAAAGGCTAGTCACATTGACCTTTGTCACAACACCGTCACTGGGCTTATGCGGCTTTTAAACAGGAGCCAGGTGACCAGCCTAAAACCCACCACACTCTGGTAGNNNNGCGACTGTTTGTTCGCGACTGCTTATTTGCGGTATACCGCAGCTGATCCATTCACAGCTAACCTTCGGTGAAGGTATCCCCCCGGGGACGCGCCTGGTAGCATTCAGCTCTGCTTAGCCCGAGGGTATCCAGCTGTTTCCTTGAAACCCGCATCTTTTGAACACTAATATATTTCGCATTATTCTATCGCATTTGTTCCTCATGTATTACCCTTCCTGCTCTTAGAAATAGTTCTCAAAGTTCAAAGTTTTTCATTATGTGAGATTTAACCAAGCTAACGTCTGTCATGCCCTATAGGATTTTTGCACAATATCTTAGACAACTTCACAGGTAGATAATAATATTGTGCATGGTTACTCACAGATATTGCAATTTTAATTGGTCTAATGCTTTACCAATTTGCGATTTGAATAATTAAACTCTAGGAGCACACAACATTG